TATTTCATCTTTATCTACTTTACACAAATGCACTAACACACACTTTGTCCCTTTGTGGCAACATTCCCTAGACTACGTTTAGCTAAATAAATGCCAGAATTTACCCTTCACTTATTGTTTTATAAATAATACCAACATGCGGAAGTTAAAATCACTACAGAAACTTTCAAATAAAAAAGGTAATCGGGGCACGCTATAAAAAACTTGTTTAATTAATCAACTCTAGTTCATTTAGAGTTGTCTGTCATATGTTATTAAAACCATAGAGCACAAAGGTACTAGACATTAAAACCTCTTTTAAAATTCGTACACATATTAAAAAACTTTTAAGTCTACCTAAACATTATACGCACTTCATTATAACAATCTAAATACTAATTAATGCTACCCGATACACTTACATCTGACAACTGCTCAATACTAAAACAAAACAATAAACAATGGCCGGATGGAAAAATAAAGAAATCATCTATTCAAGTAAATCGTTACAACATTTTATGTGGAATTCGTGCTTACTCTTGTTGTACCGCAAATACACAACACTACAAAGTAACGTACACACGTCAGCATATAATATAATTTTATTTTAAAAGTTCTCTTTAAAATAGATAAAAAACAAGATCTTGGTATTTATACTTTCATCCTATTATTTAAATAATAAGGTCTGTAGTTTACGCGAGAAGTACACAAATAAATAAAGCACTTTAAAGGTTCAAAACGCGATATACCACATCTCCGACCGAGTCTGCCCGTGACTGCAAAGCATCCGAAACGTCGGACGGTAGTTTTAAAAATTTTCAAATAAGTTTAACTTATAAATGTTTATCTCGTGACAAATGTTTTATTTTAATAATTTACAGGAATGAAACTAAAAATAATGCACAAAAATACTGTCTATAGTTTACGCGAGATAGTACACATTTAAATAAAACACTTTAACGGTTTAAAACGCGATATATTAGTTAAACTTATTTGAAAATGATTTTTAACTCCGGCCCGACGTTTCGGATGCTTTGCAGCAGCCGTGGTCACTACATTGTGGTAATGTACACAATTTAATAAAATAAAGATGGTCTCTACAAAATGACACTCCTCAACTTTGTGTTCAGTACCTACGAGTATATTTCTGGTAATAGTTTTTTATCTAACATAAGTGAAAAGTAATTGTCTAAATTATTATTTACTAGAACACACAAAGGACAAAACGAGTAACGACAACCTACGTTTAAGTTCATATGACGTTACGTTTTAAACAACACCTCTTTAGTTAAATTGTGGTATCTTTGTAGGTTAATATTTGTAGTAGGTACTTTAGGTACCTTGTTTTAGGTTAAACTAATAACAGCATTTACACCTTTGTATTTGTTTAAAGTATCACGCTTCTTCCCCGGTTTTATCCGTGTCCCATTATGGTGCAATAATTTTTAAATTTTAAGAAACAACATATAGCGTGGCGACTTTAAAAGATATAATAAAAGTCCATACGCACCGAATAGTTAATACAGGCTATACTAATATTTTAAAGCTAAAGGGTTTGTTTGATGGCGCTAATCTCAAGAACTACAAGTTAAAATTGAAAAATTATGTTTGTGTTGGATAGACCAAATATCGATAAAGGCTTTAGGCTATCTCCGCCAATAGAAGCAAGGAAACAGAGGAAAATGCGAGAAAAACGACGAAAATCTTTGAGGAAAACTGTTGCGAAAACGCTTCAAAAAACCAAAAAATATGTACGATATAATAACTTTTCTTTAAATGAACTAAAAATGTCTATGAAGTTATACCAGTGTTTATCTTTTAAGATTCATTCGCAAGAATGACAGTACCCCGATGACAGAGGTTTTTTGTAAATGTAAATAATATGATGCCCAAAGTAACTATTCCACGTGGACGAAGACGCGGGCACAGCTAGCCAAATATATGTATGAAAAGCACTGGCTGCAGCCGCCGCACAACCGCTGCGGTTTACGGACGGTAAACCGCTTGGTGAGTATGGGTCCTACCGTCCTAAGAACTATTGACGACTTAAACGACTCAAAAAAGCAGTGCAAAATCTATATGATTAAAATATGCATTTTAAACGGTTTGTTTGTATGCGGAAACAAATTAATTATCTAATAGTATCAAGTTTAGTCTAGGTTTTATTGCAGGGGTTGCACTTGGCTCAGAATTAGAACATATTACAGACTTTCAAAGCTTATATCCACGAAGTTATTTATATCCGCATTAGATTCGTGTAATAATAAAAGCTTTTGTTTATTATGCAGTAGGTGTGTTAACTAACAACAGAGTTTTTAAATTCAAACTGCAATTAGCGACACGTTTGTGGATTGGATGATGTTTTTCTTCGGATTTATTTTTAATGTGTGAATGTAGATTTTCGTTCGTTGTATCTTTTCATATGTGCTCTCCAATCATTGTTTTCATTGCGAGAAAAACGAAATGTGTCAAAACAGAAAAATTTAACTTTCGTCTACTAACACTTATTTAATCAGGTTTTTAGGTTATCTACTTCCCCCTTGTTGTAAATATTCATCTAACAGTGAAAACTATTAAAAAGTCAATGAAACAAACGTTTTCCTTGATGGAATAAGGTGAAAATTATGAGTCAGCTCAGCTTTTCGTATTTGAGATCCGCTCTGTATGTGGAACATATAGTATACTCGTCTATGCGGGCCTAAACCTAAGGAAATAATTATGTATCTATAGTAATATATAAAGCTGAAGAGTTTTTTTGTTTGTTTGTGTATTTGAACGTCCTAATCTCAGGAACTACTGGTTGGAATTGATTTTTTTGTCTTGGTAAGAGCATTTATAGAGGAAGATATAGACTCTAAAACAATGCGCTGTGACTGGAAATGGAAATATGTACGCTGTGAAAACAGTTTAAGACACTCCTCTTCAAATTATATAAAAAACCATATGTCTATCTTTTAAGGTTAATTTTCAAGAACGACCGGACCCGACCGTTGCAAGCGACGTGATGCGACCGATGTCGTGGGTAATAAATAGATAGATTAAATTTATAAAGATAAGGCATGGAGGTTTGCAAAAAAAAACACGAATACCCAAAATAACTACTCTACGTGAACGAAGTCGCTGACATAGCCAGTAAAGAATAAATAAGTTTGAATCTAAAGCTCCTGTTAGTAAAGATTGAGCAATGTCAAATATATTATACCTTTTGACACGCTCCTTCTTCTCTTTCTGTCAGATTTTCGAATATCGAACATCAAAATAGGTCGACAGCGTACATTGTTTAGATGTGATGTGGCTGGGGTGTTACACCTACCATCAAAGTAACCCTATGCTTATCCTCCTCGATCCATAATAAAATTGCTTTAAGCCAAAACTTGAGTGCAATATTCATAGCACTGATAAAATTAAAGAGGAAAATAATATCCACAGGCAGAAGTATGAGTACGTAATGGACTTTCCTATTTCGTAATTACATTGTGTAATAAAGATGATAAGGCATATTTATACGGGCTCCTAGTGACGTGTATAACTGCAATATAAATGTTTCGATTGTAGGTCATGATTTCGATTACCTCCTGGACCAGAATGTTGTAAAGTTCAGTGTAATTTCTGAATATTTCAGATCTTTAGACCGTTCGTCTGGATATATGAAGTATATAGGCAATGGAAATAAGGAAAGGTTGGAACAATATGTTTCCAAATTCAAAACATGTAGATTAAAAGACCCAGTTTTAACCGGTCAAAACTAGGTTACCGTGTCTTGAGGGTAAAAGACACGGACAATTTGAGGTCAGTAAAAAACAAGTATCGAACATAATAATTTAATAACCATTTCTTTTTACGTTACTCTTAAATGATTTAGGCAGTCAACTAAATCAATTTTCTCACTTTCATACTAATGCTGTTGATAAAATTATGCTGGTGTACATTATTGTCACATAGCACAATTTTAAAAACAACAATGTGATTTGGAAGCTCTTTCGAAACTATTTTAACGCCTCTTGTGGATACATCGGATAAATTTCGAAATGTATGAAGATATGAGTAAAGAAAACAAAAGAAAAGCTTATTAAAATTATTTATTTACTGTATAAAAATACAAATAATCGATTTGATTTAGGTTTATTTATCAAGGAATATATTCATGTTCCACTTTTAAATATTATTATTATTCAATGTGTATTAGTGAGTATAAATAATTAATTTATTTATTTAGTATCTTTAAGCACTTGGCCAGTATTTCTATTGTCCAATAGTCTACTCTGAAAATATGACCACTAAGTTTTGGTAACTGCCCAGATTACTTGGTTTTCAGTCATTATTTATTTACATCATTGTCTTAAATTCCTACATCTATTTACATTAGGTATATCAAAGAATATGGCTTGTGATCCTGTCGACTTTTACAGATTTTCAAGTTAAAAGGTGGTCTTCGGTTTTAAATATATCTATAATCACTCATCCAAGGACATACACATAGATTAATAATTTTAAAATTATCAATTGAGACTAGAGTCTTGTATAGCTATGAGTAGACTATGATGAAAGTAACTTTCAATTATAATTCTAGCAAATGTATTAAAACTGGCATCGTTTCGGTTTGTAAAATGTTTAAGCATACATAATTTCACACATACAGACAAGAAGAAATTAATTTACTTATACTATAGCGCCTCATAATTTAGCAACATATGTTATACAAACCATTTAATACTAATTGTACAACATATTACAAAAATTCACTATTGTAAGTTTTGAAGTAGTAAATTCTATTGAGATAGTAAGTTTTTTTTTTGTATGATGGGTTTTAAAAATGTTTACCTACTTATATATATTTCTTCTTGGAAAAAAATAGACTATAGAATGATAAGATTCATCTTAAAAATTTGACATCATAGTTGACGATTCTTAGTAAATTTACTTTTTTTTCAAGGATTCTTAGAAATAGAACTTGTGTAAGGCGCATAATGAATATCTATCATATTATATACTAAGGAGATATATGTTGGTTATAATTGATATTAGAAGTTGGATGTAACATTAGCTGTGGACCGACGCTGTATGTGTGGTTGCAGTGAACCGTATCCTCCATAACCGCTGTAGCCACCCTCCACAACTCGCATTATGCGCACGTTGATCTGAAATATTATTAAATATTACTGATATTAAAAATTAAATGTATTGGATAATTATATGTGTGCCATATTAATGCACAAACGACAAATATAAATAAGTACTCGTCATAAATATCGTTGAATTATTATATTAATATTAGTAATTATCACCATTCTGAACGTTTAGCTGTCAAATGACATCTGTAAAATTAAGTCACTATGATCTGTCAAAAGGTCAGTTGCGCGACTGTTTCCGTTATTGCATTTGAATTCAGAACATCGCCTGCGCCGCGTATGCGCACTGACAATATGTTTGAGTCCATTACCGACCGTAACGGAGCGCTAAGCCCTTTGTATATCCACCATTATACGTTTTTAAGACTCAATAGAAATATGAAATCGGAACCCGGAAATCACAATAATCCAGGATCCACAAAGTACCAGGCTATTGCTCTGTCAGTTGCCTGGTGGAACTACTATGCTTCATAGTAAAGCGATGCCTGAATAAATACTTACTGAATAAATAGTAGGTAAATACCTGAATAAATATATTTATTTTAATTTTCAAAAATATTACCCCTAAAATGTATTTACCTCGTGTTTAGAGACGGATCTCTTGAAGAATTTGTGGAACCTAGTAGATAGAGCCCACACGGCTCCATTGTCTCTTTCCGCCCATCGCACTTCCGCGCAGAACTGCAGCTTCTCAGGGTCCTGGGCTAACACCCTTTTAGAAGAAAATAAAATAATTACAAGTATACATTTATTTTGGATAAAAGTAGTGACAATATGGTCAACCATAATTCGTAAACAAAACGTCTAAATAAAGTTTACTTAATGTCTATAAATAGTATATTATTTTTTTATTGATTCGTTTCTAATATGTTTTTAAATACTTAAAACCCTTTTAAGATGATTAGTCAAAATACTTAAAGAATTAAAATAGGGTACTAATCATCACCTCTAAACCATAGATACCTGTGTGAGTTAGTTATGGGGTTCCATGCAGCTATGGCGGTTTCAGTCATGGGGCTGAAGATGATAGTGTCGTCTCTTGGGTCCACCGCGATACCGAGACCTTGCGAAGATTTCCGACCCACGAGGTTCACAGGTAAGTCAGCCCCTTCTGCTGGTGGACCGGATGCTAAAACTGCTGTTGATACACTGAATATTCTGCAACAAAAATCATGTTACATTTAAATAAAACACTTAACGGTTTAAAACGCGATTTATTAGTTAACTTTTTTGAAATTTTTCGGGGCCCCTTTTGGGTTTTTTTGGGGGGGGGGTTTTTTGGGGGGGGGTAATTTTTTTTTTTTTTTTTTTTTCTTTTTTTTTTTTTTTTTTTTTTTTCCCCCTTAAAATTTAATTTTTTTTAATCATGTTACACATTAATTAAATAAAATAAAACAATGTAACTAGAACAACAACGGTTTTTAATGTTTTATACGGAAAACAAAGCTATTACAACGACAAAAAATAGATTATGAATTAATTATTATTATTATTTAATTGTAACTTTTAAATTTAACCAATAAATTAAATATAATTAAAAAATGGACAATACAGAGTTACATGTATGCCTTATCTGTTTAGTAACAATTGATTACAGGGTTCACATTTAAAACAAATACGTTGCAGTTATCTTTTTTTGTTGTTTTACCACAATGCGGGAGAAACCAAAATGAGTTTCGTAAACATATCTAAAAGGAAAATGATATTTTAGCTATGCTTGAACTTTTGAGTTCAATTCTATTAATATAACAAGTTTGCTGCAGCATATCTAACACCGACTTAAAAAAATCGACATCAATAATTATCAAAACAGATTTTGGGTTGATTTGATAAGACCTGATTTTTCTTTATTATCTATTGAAGTCACTTTTGTTAGCTAGTATTAGTAGTAGGTATTAGTGTTTTATTATTATTATTTTAGTGATAGAGGAAGAAAGACAAACACAGGGTTCACTTCGATATTCGGAAACAAGCTGACAAAAAAAATACATTTAATAGACAGTCAATTATGCTAATCGAACGCTTTGTTTGCTTTAATTTTAATAAATTTAAGTGATAAAGAAGAATTGAGGATTATTGTAGGCGTTATTTTTACCCATAATATATGTAAAATTAACTAATGTTGTATACTACTACATTTGTATGTTACTTAGACGGCACTACTTATATTTTTCGTATTGCAAAGATAATATTATTCATTTATATTATAGTTCGATTCTCTGAAAACTATTTTCTGATAATTGGTGTTATAATATAGTCTTTATTTTTTTATGATAGGGAGGACAGACAGAAGCATCCCCATGCTTCACTTGACGGCAGAATTAATTCCCTCTATACCATCGAAACACGCTCCACTAAGGAATAATTGAGAATTATACACCAGCTGATCATACTTGAAGTCTCCTTTAGTTTGTGAGGGCTTATTGATCAAAGTGCAGCACCTTATTATATGTAAATTTCGTATTTTCCATACCTATCTGTTGCCAGCGGCTGATAGTACAAGAGGCCCTGAGCTGGCGAGTGGGTTAATCCGACGATACCGTCCATAAGAGTGAACTTGTCTCCACCAATGTCGTATTCGCCGAGGTTGGGGTCGGGGTACATGGATGCGTGGGTGACGCGCCAAGCGTTGTCGCGACGACCGTCGTAGACAATTATACCTGCAAGATGAGGACACAGTTACTATCTAAACATTTTAATAAAAAGGTACTTGCCATAGACGTAAAATCTATAATATGTGACTCATAGTACATAATAATAATAATTCTCTGACTCTTTTGGGCTCGTTGGTCTACTGGTAGCAATGTATAAACTTTTTTATCTTCGTTTTTAATTTTTTTCAATATTTTTTTAACTTCGTCTGTAAATCTGGATATAATAACGGGTGGTAGGAATTTCGAGTCACGAGCCACCGTCCACAGATGAAGTTTAAATCGAAGAAGAAGAAGAAGTTTAATCGAGTTTTGGGTTTCAGTCTGTGAATTTTGAGAGGTTTTGAGTTTAAATGTTGGCAAAATAAAAATTTGTTGCAGTCGACCAGTTTGATGAAGTACTTGTAAATACAATCTAACTGTGAAACGGTTACAGTTAGATTTTATTTACAATGGATTTTTTTTAGCTTTTTAGATTAAAATTATAAATATTATAAGTTATCCATTACAAAGCAAATATATTTTTTTATAGCAAGATGTCGTCTAAGGGTTGCGTAATATTTAGAGAAAGTTCTGTATCGACACACGTGGCTGATCTTAGAAATTTAAGGTAGTATACAGCTAGTATCAAACTGTGTCAATGGCATAGTCATGGACGAAGGTGTTTGGACATACCTAATACCTTTTGTGGAACATAAATTGTTTGCACAATATTCTCTGTGCCTCCAGTGAAGACTTACTAACTAAAAAACGTTGTAGAGGCATCTATTTAATATTTTCTAACGCCTCTATCGGATCTTGTCGCGTAAAAGCGACACGATCCGATAGAGGCATATATTCCTACCACTCATTTTATATCCAGATTTCCAGACGAAGTCCGACATGTTGCAGAAAAGTTATACATTAATTTAAAAAAATGTTGGACGGGGGGAACCCACGGTCCGTTGATTATTAGAAAAGAATAATATATATTTATTATACAGTGGGTTCTTGTAAATATGACATAGTTATCTTAACTTTATTTTTTAATAGCGAGTTTTCGCAATATTAAATTTTATATCTAATACGATTAAGAGTCATAATCTTATAAAACTCATATTTATGAATATTCGATAGCGATACGATGAAAGTGAAAATAAGCAACTTTTACAATTTATTATCCTGACGTTAATCGATTACCTAATTTTGAGGAAGATTGCGTTCGTGGTTATTAGTTAAGACGCTCATAAATAAATGCGTGTAACATCCGGAAGTAATGATATGATATTAAATTTCAGTTTTTTACTTCTACTTTTTTATTATCTATGGTTATTATTAAAGATAGAGTTAGCAGTCTGTGGTTTAATAACAGTGTGAATTTAATATACAAACTGCCTACGCCCAACGGTGGGAATTGATATGAAATCGTGTAATAATGCAACAGTGAAATACTGCGTTCGCTCAATTCTTCTATATTCTAGATTTAATTTGCAATATTCTAGAATATTCTTAAAAAAATTTAAAAGGTAATCTTTTGAGCCAAATAGTTACCAGGAGCTACAGTATCACTGATGTAAGCGAAGATGTTATCGCAATTAGCGGCGTGGTGGGCTGAAGACCTGGTGTCATCGAGGACGATGTTCGTGAGTAGGGTCGCTGGCCGAAGGAGTTCACGTGGGAAGTAAATACTCCTCACCTGGAAGACGAATAATACAAAATATATTTATCTATACGCTATTTCATCGTATTTCTTCACGATACTGAAATTATTTATATATCAAACCTCTCGTGCTTAGCAAAATCCTTGATATGAAGATGTTAGAATAAAATGGAAGTTTTTAACTGCAGGATGACCAGTATACCGGAAAAAATATGTTTTCCCGGAAATCGAACCTTGGACTGATCAAGGCAATACGTTTACAACATATTTTATTATTACAGTCACTAATCGTTCGTGTGCTCTACATTTACTTGAAATGTTGCAGATCATTGACTCCTAATGATATGATTGAGTTTATTGTATCCACTTTGTGTAACCGCAACTCTACACAAAATAGACACACCTCATGTGAAAGAAATAGCCTTGGCGACCGTGCCTAAATGTAAATTGAGATAAAAGCAATAACATCGCTGAGGTATGTACTATGTAATATTACAGCAAAATACATGCAAATACATTTCACGGGTAAATATTTTCAATCGCAAAAAACTCGTTACTTCCAAGATATACCTAATCCGTGAAAATTGATCTAGCCATTATTAGAGCTATAATTATTGAAGTGAAAATGTATAATACGATAAATGAAAAACACATAGTCAAGAAATCAACAAAGAAAATCTGTTTAGTAAAAATATTCCAAAAACAACACAAAATTAATGATTATTCTGTAACAAAAACTGTCTGTTGATACAAATATTTTTCCCACATTCCATTCCATAAATCGTACGCGATCACAAGCCGTATTATTAAAGTGTTAAGCTAAATCTCTAATAAATCTACTGTTCAGTCACGACTCGTGTAATTGGTAATGTAATAACAGCCTACTGAAGTAACTGCTTTTATTTACGTACAAAATTGACTGTCTGTTCAAAACCGATAGTTATCTATAAGGTGTCTCTGTAAATCAGGTTAAATAATATCGTTTTATAAGAGAACAGATTACTATGATAGTGAAATCGGAAAATCTAAGATCTGGCGCGGGCAACTACATACTTCGATTAAATTAATGTATATTTTATAATTCATAAACTATAGCCAATTTTAATCGAACGTTTATTAAATTGCTTTTATGAGTTTACCATATTTGCATGCGGAAATTTCGTGTGTCGTAACTTTGCAACTTTATGGTTTAAAGTTTATTTTATCTCTTGAGAACGAAAGTTGTAGTTTTAATATACTTCAGTTTTTCTGCAAGTTTGTTTATGGATAGATGAAGGTTTCACTAGACACCGCAATAGAAGACATCTACAGATCAGCAGATATTAAAATGTATATTTCAGTATGAAGATTGTTTGAGTACACTTGGTAAATGAATAATATAATAGCTAATCCTTTTTGTAATGTAATGTTTCATTAATACGTTTTCAAGTTAGTAGTTACAACGAAGATACTTAGCTTTACTAAAACAACCTGAAATTCGGTTTCGGTTCTTAAAAAATTCAGCCCATCTCTACAAAAGACATCAACAAAGCTGTGGGCAAGGACAATACAATGTATGAAAGTACTTTTAACTTACCAAACGATCAGTGGCCATGTCAAAAACGAGTATCTTAGGAGGGCATACACGCCGGAAGTCGTCGATACTGGTAACCACGCCAGCATCCAAAACCCAGAGCCTGTTACACCGGTCAGCTCGGACACGGTACACCGAGATCAAACCGGTGCAGTTGATGTCTCCTCTGCCAGCTGTGTGCCATGACCAGTCGGGGTAAGCCTGAAATGTTTCAACCAAATATAGTTATAGCAGGACGAGGCGCAACTTCATTGGTAACAAAAGAAGATACGAAGATATAGAAGGAGGTGAGAACGTAAATATTGGTGAATTGTGCGTTAATAGATATCTATATAAAGGTCAAGTCAGCTTGCTCGTCTGTCCTCCCTTGTAATATAAGGAAAAGAAAAGTAACCGATTAGTTAAACTAAAAGTCAAAAAACTATTTTGAGGGGTTGGAGTATATATATTCGTAATCTTAGTCAAATTTTGATTCGAAAAAATCGATATAGTAAATTTTATTTAACAAAAAACATACATAAAACGTATTTAAAATCCGTTGTTAAGATCTGCGTGTAATATCTTAGTTGACGTTTTAATATTCGAGCATGCTAATTGTAAAAAAAAATTACATAATTATTACAAGTACTACAAGTTTTAAAAAGCCGTCGTACGAGTTCGGGCAAATTAAATAGTATTTAACCAAAAGAATTATGACATGTCCATTTACTTTTACGAAAGGCTAGATAATCTCCTCTTTTAAGTATTCTGTACACGAATACTTTATTTAAAATAGCAACGGTATTGAAAGTGTCCCTTGCAAAATGCAATACATCAATGAATATATCAACATGATAGAAGACAATGTATCTTGTTTTATCCGCCTTTATCGCAAGCAATGAAAGCATACAAATCGATCTCATGAACAAAGGGTAGCGCTCATCTGAATTATTTATTTTCTTTTTATATATTCAAGACAACATTAGAGTAAGGTCTCCTTTGCTCCTTGAACTACTACTATACCTAGAATTTACTAAAACTAGTACTTGTTTTACATCTCTTTCAGTTTTTAAGACAATCTATACTCGCTGACGAAGTCGCTGACGCAGCTAGTGCTATACACGTTAGTGCGATTTAGGCTCATAAACCATAATGGAAAGTTATAATGTTGATATTCTAGACCCTATTTCAAGAATAATTTGATAGATATAATGAAATATTCGATTCAAACATAATACCATCAAGGTCGCGTCAACTTTACTTGTCCTTCACGCTTTCAAACAATTGTGTTCTCGCGTAACGCATAGACATAACGCGATACAAAACAAATAAGGCCGTCAACACATCAACAAAGCCGCCTATTGCACTATCTCCAAGTATATAAGGTAATTTTTTATTATTTTTCTACGTGTAATAACATGTTGACAAAGAAAGAAAATATACTACTAATCCTTTATCGTAATTTTTTAAGTTACATAAATGAAAATAAAAAATAAGATTAAAGCTATATCTTTTAATATTAAACACTGTCTGTAGTTTACGCAAGTAGTACACATTTAAAAAAAACACTTAACGGTTTAAAACGCTATATATTTTAGTTAAAACTTGTTTGAGAATTACTTTTAACTAGGGGCCGTTCAAGTATTACGTAAGCAGATTTATTACAATTACCTCACCCCCCCATCCCCCTTCAGCAAAAGTAAGCAACTACCCCCTCCCCCGACGTAAACATTTTTCAATTAAAAATGTGGTGGTTGCCATTCGTGTAAAAAAGTAAATAAATATCGATGACATAATCATCCTCTGGCACTCCCCCCCTCCCCCCCCATGTCACAAAAATGCAAAACACAGACCCCCCCCACCCCCCTTAGACGTAATACTTGAACGATCCCCTACCGCCCGACGTTTCTATATGCGAATTTATCTTCTAATATACTAAAACTAATTTCAAACCAGTGTTATCGACATATATGAAACACCAGTACTAAACCTAGTACTGCTATAAAAATAAAAACCCATTATGATAACTTAGGAAACACAAATATTTTAAAACTTAGTGACATGCAATAAAGCCAAGAAACGTGACGTTAACATCAACAAGATATTATCATAACATCAATCTACAGATATAAATTAAGAACAATGAAAGTAGATCTAGTACAGTATATTGTGCAATTTATACCCGTTTGTCCTTAAGGTACTTAATTCACAAGATTTAAATTTTTGCTATGGAGTATACATACTTTTATAGTATGTTAGATACCTCATGCCTCCAATAGTTAACTAAAATATTTCGTTTTATCAAACAGTTCCAGATACATTTTACTATATTTATATACGTATAATAAATATAGTAAAATTGGACTTGTCCATTAAAATACATTTATTTTATACTTATTCTTTATTTATTACTTGTGTCCAGTCCGATCGATTCTACTATAGCTTAGTGGGCGACGATATTCAATGCCCAACCCAACCGTCCGAAAACCGGGAACCGAACTTACGTAAACAATTGTACTTTTAAGATATTGAAACACGATATATTAATATATCGCCTGTGTGAACTAAAATAAACTTACTTTTCAAAAAAGGGGAATTTTTTTTTTAAAAAAACTTTAAATTTTTTAAACCGGTTTTTTTCATTTTTTTTTTCCCTTATTTGTTATATTTACCGAGTAGTATACAGTTAAAAAAAAATTGAAACACGAAATATTAATATATCACCTGTGTAGTTTTATTTAAATGTATACTACTCGCGTAAACTATAGGCAGTAAGGTGAATCATATTCATAATAATATTATTGAATAGCTAAGACAAGTCATGCATAAAAAAGTGGTCAGTTTCCTTAATTTTAACGCCTCTAAACCTGTTCCCCAGTGCGTGGAACGTAAGTTAATTAGACATTGATAACATTATATAAACTAGAAAGTCATTACCTGCAGAACTGGACTGACGCCTGGTGGCAAAGAGCGCGGAACCCACGCCAAAGTTGCTGGAACGCCAGCACGCAGGCGCGGAATCCCTATGTAGAGTCTGTCCCATCCGATCTCCAAGCCTGTAGGCACGGTATTTTCAGGCTGAAACTTCTCCAACAGAACGGGGTCTGGTGGGAAGTCGAATTGAAGGAAACTCCATTGGTTCACTACTTCTAGTGATGCTGTCGCCACTGCTACGAAAGCGAGCGATACTATCGCACGTGCCCACATTTTATATATCTGAAACGAGAATATATATAAAAGCATACATTTAAAAGCAATAAGTTATGATATATATTTTATGGTCGCACATCTATAATAATATTGTAACGCTGAAACGCTGTTTGTTTGAACGCGCTAATCTCAGGAACTACTGATTCGAATTAATAAAAAATGTGTTGGAACATTTATCTTGAAAGGCTTTACGCTGTAAAACATCAGGCTACAACAAATAAGACCAAGGAAACAGTGGCAGATTTAACAAAAGACGTATTCACCTTTGAGGGTTTCTGCTACTTGCGTTTCGAAAACGGTAAGAGACACCCAAAAATATGTATAAATAATGATTCCTAACTAAATTACCTAAAAAATATTCCCGACAATATGTTATGTCTTTCATTTAAGTCTCAGTTGAAATACTTTGCATAGGCAATCAAAGAACGTTTGCCAGGTCAGCTAGTGTATTTAGAAATAGTAAGATAAGATAAATATCTTATGCGCCTTGGTATGGTCACTTAAGAGAGAGCATTTTTATTTGAAGCCAACGGGCTCCTTAAAAAAACGGGAAACTTAAAAAATCCGTTTTTCCCCCCCTTCTTTTTTTTTCCCCGGGGGGTCCCCATTATATAAGCCACTCAACGGAGTCTTTAAAACCCGGTAAACTTTGAAAATGATTAACTTCGGCCCGACGTTTCGGACTCGTTCAGTTCCCCCTGGACCCCGGGCGTGCCAAAATACGTCATCTACATACTTGCCGTAACTAAACATTGATCGAATGTAAAAAGTATCTGGCCTACATTATAAGAATACGTTTTCGTTTTTATAATGCAACAACGATATTATCTATGTAATGCAATCGAGATATTAACGCGAGTACAAACTACCTATTAATGACAATGAACTCTTTGCTTATGTCGGACGCCTTTTACTTGTAGATCAAGGACGCTTCCGACTCTATGTTAGGTTCTAGGTTGAAAAATAATAACCATGACCCACATCAAATTCTATATATTCTATATATTTCACTTCTACTTAAAGAATGCATACGTTATTCGCGACTATATTTATGTTTACTAGCTTTATTTATATGTATAAGGCTGAAGAGGTTTGATTTGAAAAAATATTTTTGTGTTGGTTAGCACATTTATCGAGGAAAGCTTTAATAGAGCGTAGAAATAGGAAATGTAAATAATATATTTAACAATTAATGACTAAATTGATAGAACGACGGGTCGCGAACGACGTTGTGGTTAACAGCTAAAATGTAGAGAGGGGATTTGCAAAAACAAATTGATACCTAAAATTAGTATTAGTTAGAAATAATTTGCACGGGCAATTTATTCTGTCACCTGTTGTCAATGTAATTCATCTTAACGAGTATGGAGAGCAACATCAAAAGACAATGGCGCAGGTAATTTTAACGTCAACAGGTCATTTTGCATGTCAGCTTGTCAGATGTTGAGACATAGAAATATAGAATAATGAACGACCTAGACACAACATCTACCGAAGTATACTTCTCGATTCATGATGTAGATGGCGCTAGTTTAGACAACTTATAATTAGCTGGGTAGCATGCTACTAACTATCTTTGCCATACCTTTTTAATTAAAGATAATTAATATTTAATATTGTTCATCATAACATAAGGGTTATTTTAAATATTTACATAAAAAAGGTTTTGACGCGAAATATATTACTTGTAACCTGACGTTTACGACACTATGTTTTGGATGATTTACAGCAGCCGTGGTCATGATCACCTGAAATGTCAGATCGTAGATAAAATCAACTCAAAATTACGCAATAATTTGAAGACTATTCGCGTAAACTACAGAAAATTTGTTTTTTTTTTTTAAATAAGAATGGCAAGGGACGGCCAGATAATCTTAAATAACATTTGTTCTTATTGAATATAATTTAATTTGAACTATAAGTGAACAATATTGCCTTTAGGGTTTGTTATAGAATTCTTGCACACTTAAGCCCTACAAGGCCAGTCTACAATCACGTTGTTGAGTGGGTAGGTATGTCTTAGTCAACTATTATATCCTTGTCTTTCGTAATTCTTTTCATAAATTTCAATTAAATGGTTCCGTCTAATACAACGCTTACTTTTTCCCTTGCTTAAATCCTTTTTGTAAATAGCATACAAATTACAAAGATACAATATTAGTTTTGTCATTAGACGAAGGTTTACGGATCAAGTAATATTCTTTTGAAATGTATTTATTATTTAAAAGTGTTATTAAATATGTTAAAACTTGAGGAAATAACAAGTATAAGTTAAGTTATAAAATTAGACTGTCAAGTGGTTCTATCAGTAAACCACTGAACACAACCTCACAAGTTTTAATATTTTCGAAATCATAGCCAGTTGCTAAAAATATCCATTTTCGTCAAATAATTAACCTCCTTGAAACTGAAATCTTTTTAAAATAATTCGTTCTATAAATAACTTTTGAGGTCACGAAATGTTAAATGTTTCCTCCGCTTTTTAAATGTTAATTAACTTTAGTTTGGTTTAATTTTGTAAGTACTGTGATTTTAATTTTCAGAGCGTTATCTATAAAGGTCACAGTAATCAAATATAACATTGTCTTTGTGTTGTACAGCCAATTGACAATTCAAAGCATAAAATAGTTCAAATTAACATAGCTTTGATTTACAATAGATATACTTTGATATACTATCTGCCTAATCTTTAATTGTTAAATTTTATACGTAATAAATAAATCGTACATTATAATATCCATATCGAAAACTACGTTCGTTCATCTATTTAAATGTCCTGTTAAGTGCACCTAACTAACTCGCGTTTAAACTTGAAGTGTTTTATTTAAATGTGTACTACTCGCGTAAACTACAGATAATATTTAATAAACTACGTTGTTGACGAGAAAGTGTTATGTATTGTATATATTTTACATCTTATAGTACCTTTTCGAATGTATTACTTTAACCTTGCTAATCGGATTTCGAATATAACTGATTAAAAATCATAACTTTCAAGGTGTTCTAATCGATAATTAAAACCAAATACGTATTTATTGATTGACAGGTAGATAACATCTAATCTACTTGTTAAAATTAATATATGTACGTTATAATTACTAATTGCGTTTTAATTCGACACAATGGCAATCAAGTGTAAATAAGCGATTAGTTAAGAATTACGTAGGCATTATGTATTGTTGGTTAATAACATGAACATTATACTTGAAATTCAATAATTATTACTTCAATTTCATTCCCACTTCTGGTTACAGGGGTCTTTTAGTACAGAAGTGGGTTTCAAAAATATAGACCCACCAAGCTTCTTTAGGTGTAAATTGGTAGGCTTTAACAACTATAAATAATAAATGGTGATAACTGATAATGGCGGCTAAACGTTGACGGGTTCTTTGGTCTTATGGTAGTAATCAATGGGTCGTGGGTTTAGTGTGGAAGTAAGATAAAACGATTCAACTCCGCCCGTTCCTGCAAAACCGTGTGTCAGCCAAATTAATTATATAATGATTCCGTAATGTCCGTAACAGTATATATCAATATTTTAAGACTAACTTGCAAGAATAATGGAACTCGAACGACGTCGTGGGTAACAGCTATTATTTATAAAGCTGAGAAAGGTACTTCGCCAAAATAAATCTACGCAAACTGACTTTTCAAAGCGGACGAAATCGCAGGCAAGCTTGTATTAAATATTTCGCGCGATCCGGAATACGAGCGGGACCTAGGGATCTACAGCCGAATTCACTAACAACAAGCCTGACGCGGTAGTAATCAATCATACTTAACCGTTAATAGGCACTGTACGTGACCTAATAACTTGTACTGCGGTAGTAAACAAAAAAACATTTGTTTAACATGGTTGCTGTCAAGTCGCAATCTTTTAAAATGAATAGCTTGCCGCTACATTAATCTTGTTCTAATATTTATGTCGAAATAATTTTAATTATTATGCCCCTCTAGCCTATATGTAGAACACTTTCGAACGGTCGTGTAGTTATGAAATATAAAATTAATTTATTCTCAAACTAATTAATAACACCAATGTACTTCACCTGTCTTTATATGATAGAACCGAAACTGACGGCTTTAGTCGTACATACTCTCCGAGACAACAGGCTAATGTCAACTATATTTAACCCAACCCGTGATTGGTAATCGACTATCCATAGACCAACCACATATTAAAAGTGAGCTACAATATTAAGTAAAATATTATTATGTTACTATTGTTCAAAAACGTTCTTATATTTATCAGTATAAATTAAAAATATATTGAAATTAAAAAAAATACGACACGGGCGGGACTCGAACAGGTATCCAATAGCGTTTCAGAGCAGCAGCACAGATGCTGGGAATGCCGGTTTAAGTCTTGCCCGTGTGTAGCTCTTTTTTCAATTTGAATAGAGTTTTAATTTATCAGTATTTTTTAAATAACACCAAAATTAATTTTTTGACAAATTTTTTTGGACAAGTATATCAAACTGCATATGTATATGAATGTATATGCTCAAAATTTGTACTCACGTACTTTGCATTATAAAATACGGAAACGAAAACGCAGACAGTTAAAATTAAATTATTTCAATGCGGAAAGTGTTCTAGTTAAAAACCCAGCTTAAGACAGGTCTAGAATGACAAACAGTTATTTGACAAACGTATTATGTAATTTATATTTAAAGGTTCAAACTAGATCTACGAATAGTAATTGACAAAGATGTGTGACAATATTATTCGTTAAACGGCCGTAACGAGTTAAGTGTGTTGAGTTGAGTTAATTGAATGCATTGTTTGGTTCCGTGAGATCGTGTTGTTTCTGCACCAAAAATACTTGAATACATTGTTATATGAAAATTAGCATTTTTTTACTATATTCCCACAAGCATTCGATTCAAACAAACGCGTTGAGAGTTTTGCAACACGGCAAAGAATTCAAGGAGTCTTAGCAATGTAGTTTGGCATTTTACATAAAAACGTGTACTGTATTTATAACAAGACGAACA